TTCTATCTTCCGCTTGCCTCGTAATTATTCCCGCTATCTTTGATGTTAACTAGATAGGAAACATATATCTTTTGATATGTTCTTTTTCTTTTGACCTGAAGATATATGTTCCGCTAACTTCCAAAAGCTCCTGCTTATGCTTTTGGCCAAAAGATATATCTTCCGCTATCTTCGGGCGCCCCTCTGTGTAAACCCCAATCCCAGAGACTCCAGAACCCCATCATTAAGGAACATACCTAAAATCATAATAGGAACCCCAATAAGATTTCAGGGTATACTCCTTAATTAAGGGGTTTTGGAGTCTCTGGGATCCCAGAGCCTGCACCGTTGCGGTACCGATTTAGGAACGCCAAGCCTTCCCAATGCCCCTGCCAAGGACGGTGCGCCGGACGCCACGGGACGCTCGGACTTCGACGAGTGCGCCTAGGGAGTCGGCTGGCCCATAGAGTTCATGCTTAGGGTTCTAGGGATTAGGGTTTCGGGAGTCTGCTGGTGAAGAAATCCAGTATTAATCCTAAAGATAATGTAGGATCCAGGGAAAGAGCCCCAATCAGAACCTGGGATGCCTTACTATTTTCTTCAAATTTCAATGTTCTGTCGTTGGGGCTTGAGCTCCGCGGTGTCTTTCGTGGGCTTGAACTTCAAATGAAGTCAAGGCTACAGGTTTGCAGTTCAGGGTTCGGGGCTTGGAAAATCAAAACCACCGCCGTTTTCTTTCCTAGGCCGGCCTTGCATAAGGAACCTGCAAGAAGTGGGTGCTACTGTAGCAGCTAGCAGAGCTAGCGGCGATTCGGAAGTTCAGGGTTCCAAAGTTTCTGGGCTATACACTGGGGCGATTATATAAGGCTTTTTGGCTCATCGCACTCTTCACCCTAAACCCCCAGCCCTAGCCCTAAATCCCAACAGCATGGACCCTGCCTCGTGCGAGCTAAACTCAACCCGCAGGTACCTACTATATAGGGTACCAGAGCTCCTAGAGCCCTAAAAAGTAGGCACCTGGGGGGTTAGGGTAAACTCAAACCGCAGGTATGTTCAGCACCAGCTGCTCATCTCCGAGCTGCTGCTGGCAGAGTCGCTGTCCCCTGGCATAGATGGCTGCCTTCATTTTTTCAGGGTTCCTTCTCAAAGCCCTAAGCCCTAAACCCTAAACCATAAGTAATTAGCACATTAGTTCAATGATTCAATGCCTCAACCCGACCGTCAGGCCTTAAAGCCTGAAGCCAGGAAGCTTCAAACATGTTGCGAGCACCAGGATTCAAATCCGAAACCCGGAAGTCCCAGAGCTCGAGAGCTCCGCATTCAAAGAGGGCTTCTAGGTTTGCATAGGGTCTTGGGAAACCCGAGACGCCAAAATCACCGAAACCCTGGACAGAACACACCGAAGCCTCAGAGCCCCACACAGAGACCCTCTGTACCCCAAGCACAGAAACCCTAAACCGTAAACTCTAAACCCTAAACCCTGCAACCCCTCAAAGAAGCTCCCGGTGAGGCTTCGACAAGGCGGCGTCTTTGTCGCCAAAGTCTTCAGAGGCCTCACGGTTTCTTGAGGTTTGGGAGTGGGAAAATGCCCCGGGTTGGGGGTTTGATCAAAAGGCCGGGCTTTCCTACCTTCCTGATCTTCGTTGTGGTGTTGCAGTTGCAGTTGCATGACTCGCAACCAAAGCTGCAGGAGTCAAGAGTGTGCTTGCGCTTTTTCGTGGTTCTGAATGTGGCATGTAAGGTGTAGGGCTCTGACGAAGCAACCTTTGTTCCGAACCGGCGCACTTGGATCCAAGGTCATGAAGTCCAAAGCCGTTCTGTTCGCTATAGGATTTCGGGCTTTAGGCATGTATCCTTTGCATCTTCAACTTTGGGTGTCTGGTAGGGTCCAGGGGTTCCCCATGCTAGCTTCGAAACTAGCCGCTATCGAACCGGGAAGTTCTGGAGACTGTCTGCAAACCCTAAACCCTGAATCCTAAACCCTAAATCCTAAACCCTAAATCCTAAACCCTAAATCCTAAAACCTAACTCCTAAACCCTCAACCCTAAACCCTAAACTTGTATGGTTTGCTGTCAGACACCTTGCGCAATTGGATACAAAGCTTAGGGTTTAGGGTTTAGGGTTTAGGGTTTAGGGTTTAGGGTGGGTTTAGGGTTTAGGGTTTAGGGTGGGTTTAGGGTTTATTTAGGGTTTAGGGTGGGTTTAGGGTTTAGGGCTTAGGAGAAGTTCCAACTCTGTGGTCTCATAGCCCAAACCCGCAAGTAAGTGGCTATTTTCGGAATCCGCGTACTGCTCCCGGAGATTCCCGAACTTGAACAATAAATTCGTAAACCTGCACCAGCTGTGAACCCAGATGTCCTGAGATCCTAAAGTGCCGGAAACACTCCGCTGCGGCTCACAGCTTTCTGTGCAACTTGGATATCCTTCGGCATGCAGAGCTAAGGAGGCTTGGGCCTAAGGTCTCTTTGCGCAGTGGGCCCTGAACCAAGGGCAAGTCAGGGCAACAGCTCCTTTCAGCAGGCAGCAGACATTCTTAGCAGGACCCAAGGGGTCAACGATGGAGTTGTGAATGATCCCTTGGGCATCGATGTCCGTGGCGGAGGACGGAGACTAGTGACTAGGGTTTCTGTTGAAGCTTGGTTTTCGGCCTTAACCCCGAACACACAAAGCTATTTGCCGAATCCCGAATCTCAATGCCTGTGCTCTATAGACCCCTACAGGGTTGCGAATTGGGTTGTGGGCAGGTGGGCACAACTCAGAACTGGGACCGGGTTAGGCCTTCGATTTTACAGTTTAAGGGGTTACGCAGCCCAACTAGCTTCTGCACGTATGAGCAGAGCACATCGCATTCAACACACTTCGTAGGCTTTACGGTCAAACATAGTGTTGATGCTTAAGATCCCGCGTTTGCTTGGGATCCCGTGCAGCACGGGGAGTGCTGGCGGATGGTCCCCTGGACCCGAAATTCGAAGGACGTTCAAAAATGTGGAGGAAGTCTTGCCTCTGCAGTTTGTGACTAGGTTCCAGGTTTGTTGGATTTTCGTTTCGAGAAGAGTCGAATCTCCAGAAGCCAGAATCTCTTATCTTGGTTACTACCACCAAAGGCAGACAATCAAAACAATACAGTGGCTTAACAGGCAGTACCCTACTGAAGGTAACCGGGCATCCAGATACGCGAAGGAGGACCTTCTCACGCCTGGTGCCTACTATAGTCGTGGAAATCGGAACCCCATGGCTCGAAACCCCGAAAAAAAGCCCTAAACCCCTGTAACCCCTAAACCCCTAAACCCTAAACCCCTAAAGCCCTAAAGCCCTAAAGTCCTAAAACCCTAAACCCTAAACCCCAAAGCCCTGGCCGCCTGTCTCGGAATGCAGAGGACCGGATCGCCGATCAACTTCGGACGCTCTTTGCGCAGCAGGCGGGCGCAGCACGAAGCCCTCAAGTCAACAAACAGGCTTTGAAGGTGCATCTGCTAGAGAGGTACGCTTAGGTAAGTAATAGCATCCCCAGAAAGTCGAAGCTGAGGCTGGGAACAAGAAGTCTTTTAAATTGCATGCTGGGAGTTCTTAGCATCAGGGGCGACTACGTGCCCGAGTGCGAGAGAGAGAGAGAGAGAGAGAGAGCGAGAGACAGAGAGAGGGGTTGGCATTTATAGTGTCCCGGATTTCTGTAAGGGTTCTTTGAGGAACCCATGAGGGATTAGGATTTTATTCGTGTACGAAGGCCTATGGAACCCCACGGACTCTCAATCTCAGTGGAGGTTTTGTCAATCATGCGAACTTCCGTGGCCCTTATGACTAGACCCCGGATGTGGATTCCCAGATCCTGAACCCACATCCTCTAGATAAGCATTTCCGGTCTTCTAGGATTCTAGGCCCGAAGCTCTAAACCCCTGGAGTAGCGAAAGGCTGATGCGACTTGAAAAATTAATCTTAATAGATTCTTTAAGTACCCTAAACCCAGAAGCCTTAAAACCCTTCACACCGAACCCAACTGCCAGGCCGCGCCTCACCTTAAACTGTATGAACCGTAAACCTAAACCCAATCACCATTGCGAGGCCGAGACCCAAAAAGAGATCGCAAGCCTTCGCGCACAGCTTTGCGAGCGTGTGGAGGAGAAGGTGGGCTTCGTCCCGATCGCGCAGGGGTTTGGCGGTTTTTAGGATTTATGGTGGCTTGGCGTTTTGGGTTTTGGAGCGTAGTGGTTCAGGGTTAATCAAGGGCCTCAGGAGGCCGGGCTGCAAAACAATTTGGGGCTTAGCTGATTTAGTTTTGTGGGGATTCGTGGGTTTGGATTTTTGTAGGAGGTTAGAGTTTTGCTTGCCTAAAGGCCTCGACGGACGCAAGGGTTGGGTTGCTGGGTCATCAAAGTTCCCGATGAGTGCATCTCATCCATCTGAGGTCCCTTCTGACCAATGCTGGGCGACTCTCAAAACTCAGATGTTTCCGAACCTCTACAAGAAGGACCACTTTGGGGCTTGGGGTTGATAAGTGTTTCCTGGACGTAGTTCGCAAGGTGGATGGTAGGACCTGCTTCTCATTTTCGCACGCTGCTCGGTGCTGAATCCTAGCGAACCCTAAACCCTAAACCCGACCAGGCTTGTTCGAGTGTGAGTGTCAAGCCCTATATACCATCCCAAAACCCTATACCCTATCCCAAACCCCAAAGGGTCCAAAGGACCAATAATAAGGTCCTTTGGTTGCAGATAGTAGTTTTCTGGGTTCTTATTTGGGAGAGTATATGATTATTAGGTGCCTGGACCCTTAGGGAAAACTTACTTGAGCCTTACATCGCAAGCTACGTCCCCTGACGAGTCCAATTTCACGGCCCCGAAGATGATGTTCCCCAATCATTTCTCTTGAGTCCTTGGGCAAACAGACATGGCTTAGGGTTTAGGATTTTGGGTTGGGGTTTAGGATTTAGGGTTCGGGTTTGGGGTTAGGGTTTAGGGTGTAAGTCCTTCATGTCAGTCACTACCCACGCATTGACATGGAGAGTTGACCTAGCAAGCCTTGTTGGGGGATGAGCACCACTACATGGTCTGTACGAGATGCAAGGAGTCCTTACCTGCAATATAGACGACGACCTCTCTTAACATAGTACTCGTAGGTCTAGACCTCTACACCACGTATACGACACAGTGACAGCCTTTCTAGACCACGTATATGACGCAGTGACAGCCTCACGATAGTAGGTTACGATCCCTGAGTTTCAATCAAAAACCCCAAGCGATGATCCCTCAGACGCCCAAAAACTGTTTATTTAAAACAAGCCTTCAAAATGATAGTAGGGCCTGAATCCCCTAGACACACCGAGAAAAAGCGCTCAAAACAGTAGGAACTGGCAGCCGCCCGGAAGCTCCGCAGGAAGCTCCGCAGGAAGCTCCGCAGAAAGCTCATGAGCCTCTGCCTCCACCAGCAGAGCCAAAGGTTCGGCAAAGGGAGCCAGTCGAACCAAAGAGTCGAGCACCTCGGTGTTGGGGTTTAGGGCCCGTTTAGGGCTTTAGGATGTAAGGTTTAAGATTGGGGGTTTAGGGCCGTTGAGGGCTTTAGGATGTAAGATTTAGGACTGGGGGTTTAGGGCCGTTTAGGGCTTTAGGATGTAAGGTTTATGATTGGGGGTTTAGGGTTTCGAGGTTTAGGGTTTGAGCTTTAGGGTAGTTTGGGGTTTAAAGTCAGAGTTGAGGGTTTACATGGTCCACTTTAAGGGTCTGGGGCGTCTTTGTAACTCACAAGGCCCTATGATCCCGGACACCCTAAACCGTAAAAACACAAGACCCCATCTGAGCCCATCTAGCTTCAGCCGAAAAGCGGTTTTGGACCCCAAAACCCTCAGCCTAAACCCCCAAACACCCTAGAAAAGGGTTTATTTGCTCAAACCCTAAACCCCAAACTGGCCATGAACCGCAGAAGCCTCAAAAGATTCCTAAATCTCTACATCCCCTAAACCCAAAAGCCCAAAAACCCTAAACCCTAAACCTTAAACCGTAACCCTAAACCCAAACGCCCAAACGAGGGTTCATCTGCACATCCTTTGGCTCAGGCAGCTTCAGACGGTCGCGCCGAGGACCTCCCGGCGGCGGCGTCTTCGAAGCGGAAGGCCAGCCTTGGAGTTGAGGGTTTTTAGGGTTTAGGGTTTAGGCCGGCCTTGGAGTTGAAGCGTAAGGAGCCGATAGGAATCAGGGTTTAGGGGTTTTGGGTTTTCGGTTTTAGAGGCTTAGGTTTAGGGTTTAGGGTTTAGGGTTTGTTCGCTGGCACACAATCCAAACCCATGCTGAATTAGGGTTTAGGGTTTAGGGTCTAGGCCGGCAATGGAATTGAGGCGAAAGGAACCGATAGGAACTAGGTTTCAATAATTTTGGCTTTTGAGGGTTCAGAACCGATAGGAAGTCGGCTTTAGGGGTTTAGGTTTAGAGCCGTTAGGAACTAGGTTTCAATAATCTGGGTTTCAAGGGTTTCGAACCGATAGGAAGTCTGCTTTAGGGGTTTAGGTTTAGAGCCGTTAGGAACTAGGTTTCAATAATTTGGGTTTTAAGGGTTTAGAACCGATAGGAAGTAGGGTTTAGGTTTGCAACCGTTGGGAACTAGGTTTCAATAATTCGGGTTTTAAGGGTTTAGGTGTTTAGGGTTTAGGGTTGAGGGGGGCTAAGATTCAAGTATTTAGGGTTTGTCCAGTTTCGCTTATGTTTGACCTTATTGGTTGCTCCTTCATGTTTTTATTGTAGGGTATTCATTCATATTTCGCACTCATGTTTATCATTGGTCTTCATGCACTTGTTGAGCACATTGCGCGGTTGTTTGCTTAATTATCTGTTTGTTGATCTACCTGTTTAGTTGGTGGTTTGCTTGACATGCGCGTCCCTACTCATGCTACACACTTGTTGCTATCATTAGCAGTTCTCAAGCTGTTGAATGCGGCTCGTGAATAGTTCGAGACCCGAGAGCGATGATATAAAAGCAATATTATTCCATAGCTCCTTATTATAAGTTATAGGCGTACTAGGCCAAAATAGAATACACCCTTGTAGTAACCTGGATATTAACCGTCATCGAACACGTCTAAAGAACCCGTTAAAGGATCCCTATTTCAAATTTCTAAGGCCCTCCATATTATACCTCCGAGCCTGCTAGGGCCCTAAACCCTAAACCATAAACCTTCAACCCTAAACCCCTGCTAGGGCAAGCTCTTGGCTCTGCCAGCTGGGTCCGCGGCATCCATGCTTTTGGGCAGGCGTGGCACCCTAGGCTTTTTGTGCTCTTGGAAGCTCTGGGTCTGAAGTTGAGGCTTTTAAGGCTTAGGGTTTAGTATCGAGATCTTAGAATCCGTCGTATAGGTTCGGGGAGGCTTGTAAGGTTTAGGGTTTAGTGTCGAGATCTAAGAATCCGTCGTATAGGTTCGGGGTGTAATTCCATGGTTTAGTTCAGCATGTTTCTTGAGCACAGCTTCCAGATACCTACTCTAGCTCATATGAGTCTCAGGACTATGTAGGAGGTTACTGTTCCCACATAGCCACAAAGAAACACCCCTTCCAAATCGGATTTTCCCGGATCACTCCGTCTTCGTGGAAATCGGCGCAGAGGGATCTTAGGCTTCGACGTTTGGGGCTCAGGGAATCCAAAACCTACTACCCTGGCACCTTCTTCCATTCGATTCCCTGAATCCACAGCTAAGGTTTCGGTTTCAGAGCGCTTCGACCTGAAGCCGAAATCGTAAGGGATTTTAGAGCCTAGCTAAATGATCGTAAGCCCTATACCCCCATTATAAGCCCTAAACCCTAAACCCCTAAACCCTATAAATTATTGCGAATTATGAGTGAGCCGAGTCTCCAGGCTCGGGGTATTCTCGCACACGGTTCCAGCCGTCCATTCCTTCAGCCCTACGCCCGAAACTTTCGCAAAGCCTTACTTATATATGTATACATATATATATANNTATATATACATATAGATATATACATAACGTAGTTACAGCGAGCATGGCCCCCTGCAAAACTCACAAATGCCAGGATCCCAACCTCCAGAAAGTCTCAAACCCCCCCAAGATCCCGCAACAAAAACCCAAGATCCCCCCCCCCCCCAGGCCCCCAAACCCTAGTGGTTGAGA